ATAAAAGTTATAGGGATATACAGACAGATTGAGAGACACAAACAAATGGATACACAGACAGAAAGCTAAGTGATTTCATCAGCTTGTTTTTAATCTTTAAAAATTAGAAAATTAGGCTATAAATGAGTAAAGACAGAAAGAGACAAGAAAGAAGAAGGAAGAAGCGAGAAAGAATAAAGCAGCGGAGAAAGAATGGAAATGAAAATGGATTAAAAGGCAACTGGTTCATGATTTTGCTTTGCGGGACTATAAAGTCGAGGTGAGCACAACCAGTCACAGTGTTTCTCTTCTGGAGCGCCGGAAATGAAACCTGCAAAAAGCCCGTTGGCTTCTCCACATCTGTCTCTCTGTCGATCCTCATATAACACCTCGAGGAACAATTTTTACGACAATTTTATATGGGAAATTTCATTAAAATTAGTTAGAATATTCACATTTCGATTAAAATCACAAAATTTACATAATGAAGGAAATTTATATGCTTACTCCGATTCATAACTTGCTGCATATTTACGGAACGAAAAATATTTCGAACCGGAGATATGGAAAATGATAGAACATGTTTATCCTCATTAGGCTTTTCCATAATCATTATAGTAATATTTCAGATAACGAAACAAAGGGCTCATTATGCTGTATTATAACTCAAAATCCGTTGCACTGATTGGGTCAGTGATCATGTGCACCGCATGTTGCGCGCTGTACAATGACATATACCGTCGAATATTGGCATTCAGAAATTAAAAATGTCGAAGCCGTAAAGAAGCGGACTAACCAGAAATGTTACGCCATGCGTGTCTTTCTCAACTTGCTTATTACCTCATGCTATGTTTTGCATCGAACCGCAGGCAAGAGATTTCCCCTGTGACGGTATGTATGCAATTACATTGGTTTCCCAAATTTATCACGTTTACCTGAGCATACATTTGATGGTCGTAACACGAAACAGCAAATCCCGGTCCAGCTGAGTAGCAGTCTTACATCCAGCAAACCCTCAAATCTCTTTTTTTTTTTTTTATTTACATTTCGTGTTTACATCATACAGAAGCATCATTCGTGATTATTGTGTACCAAATAAATGACTGAAAAAGTGGGTTTCTTAAGAAAGTTTTCTGTAACAAGTTTCTCTTTAATTCGCTTAGTGGGGGGTGGAGTCCAACTGGGTCCACTCGGCACGGCGGCCGCTGATTGGCCTATTGTACCTGCCCCGGATGATTATGATGATGGAGAATTTTGTGGAATGAAGATTGTCAGGGGAACCCAAAGTACTCGGAGAAAACCCGCCCCAGCCAATTTGTCCACCACAAATCCCACTTGACCAGACACGGGATCGAACCCGGGCCGCCGCGGTGGGAAGCCAGCGACTAACGGCTTAAGCTATGGCGCGGCCTTTGTGTAACAAGTTACTGTCATCATATAGATATTTCGTCATTTTTAATGTCTTTTCTATCTACAAATGAAGCAGTGTTTTGTTACGAATTAGTTCATATTTTAAAGCTTTAATATTATTGATGTATAAGTCATTGTTTGCAGTGTGAATTTCTAATCGAACATCAAGCGATTTGCTACTGGAACACAAACTGACGATGTAGGACTTGCAAGAATTTTCCGGCAATATCACAGTAAACTCTCGTTAATACCTACAAAATATAACTGTGTACGTACAATTGTTAATTTTTAGATATGCTGAAGCACTAGAAATTTTTGTTGTTATAAAATTGTTTAAATTAAAATGATAGAAACATTTATATAAGCACATTGTGCTATTCCATGTTTACTGTGCGGATTGGCTACTTATCACACGAAGTAGTTCAGTGAATACCCCTTCACTCGGTTATAGCGGACGTCGACGATAACGGACACCCTGCCCATTATTAGTCTGTTATAACAAGAGTTCACTGCACAATGCATTTTAAACGAGAAGTTATGGGAAAAACTAATCGCCTACTGTCCGTGATACTACTCGGACCGCAAAGAAAACCATGGGTACAACAATTCTTTTATTGTTACGTGTTTATTCGTTGCAGCGGTAAAGTTTTTAACGAGACGTTACCTAGCAATGATATGGGGATGCACATATAGACACGCAGAGGGGTGGGAGGGATGGGCTCAGGTGTCATGATGTATATATATATACTAGGTTTCACAAAGGCTGATTCAGGCATTCAAAAATTAATGGAGGGAGGTTCCACAGATACGCAGACAGCATGGAGATAGCAAAAGCCTCCTGGAAATGTTTCAAAATAAGAAAGTAGGCTAAAAGTGGCTTCCAAATATTAAGATCTAAAATTATTGCCTATGGATGTATTTCCTTTTTCGAATTCGCGTCGTACCAGATCCGAATATTGGGAAAATGATGAAACTAGGACACTCTTGAGGTTTGTCACCGTCTCTGTCACAACATTCAGATAATGCGGAGATCTTTACAATGGAACAGACATATTCTATGACTCACTTCTCGACAAAAACATCCAAATATTCATCTCTTGATACTTAAATGCCTTTGCAAACTCCTTATTTCCAATGGATTCTGTTATATATTGTGTATCAGCTATATCATGAGGCGGGATATTGTAGTCGGTATAGGGACTGGCTACGGGCTAGACGATCAAGGGATCGGAATTCGAGTCCCGAGACAGGCAAAAATTCTTTCTTTTCCACGTCGTCCAGCCCGACTCGGGGGCCAACAAACCTATCCAATGGGTACCAGGGGCACTTCCCTCGGGGTTAAAGCGGCAGGGTTGTGAAGCTGACCACTCACATCCGGCTAGTGCCGAAGTCAAGAAAATTCCATTCCTCCATACGCCTTCATGGCTTAGAGCTTAGTTAGTTAAGCACAAGGACGATGCTTAACTTTTAAATTTTCGGTTTATAGCAAAGTTTCCTCTGGTTGCAATGTCGGACTACAGCTTTTCATGACATGACCTCTGGAAACCTAATACAAAGAGCTTAGTAGGATCGCTAGGGTACAGCTCAAGAGAAATGGAACGGACCCAATTTTTCACGTAACTAAATTACTGTGCTATATTTTATTTTCAAGACTGACTTGCAGCGTGAAGAATGTTGCATTCAGATTCAAACTGTAGATCAGCTGGAAGAAAAGGGACATCTGTTCTCCTTCTTGCACTATTCTTTCCTTTATTACTTCGCTTCTTCTACTTATTTCGTGAGAATATATCTGCATTCATCTGTCAAAGACAATCCAGATATTTGATCCAAAGACTCAGCCCCTTCTATTCCTTTAGCTGTTCCTTCACGCTCTCTTCCTTCTTCATTCTTTCATATCATTTCTTTTCTACTTGTTTTGAATCTGAGGTTCTCAGAGCGAAGACTATGAAATGCCAAATTCATGGAGCTGAATACTTCTTAAGAAGCAAACAGTTGTTCAGTCACACAAGGAATTCCCAGCATTTTATAGAACCCAAAGGTTTATTACTGTGTTCATAAAAGCCAGTTACTGGCTCGTATTATGAGCCATATGAATGTAATCCAACCCCCCATCCGATTTCCCTAAACTTATTTTAATATTATCCTTCCATCTATGCTTAAGTCTTCACACCAAATCCAGTAAGCGTTTCTCTTCCCCTATGTGTACTATCAATAAACAATATTATCACCTGGGATGTAATGCCGTGTAGTCTGGTTGAAGTATATTTTTTGGAGGAATATATTGCATCCATCTTCAGGGTCGAAGTTGGAATTTTGCTGCTCGCTTTTTGCTTCCATCTCCTACCATGAAGATGGAAGCACTTAATTCCAATGAGGTATCAGTGAACACCTACATTACTATACACCACCATATTCCAGAAGATGGCCCCTTTGAAGGGCCTTATTTGAAATCAATTGATTAAGAAAGTCACGCCAGACATTCATTCCAAGAAATTATCTTGTTTGATTAGTCGACGAGAGAATAACATGGAAACACGAATGTATACAGATTTACTGAGTTTCTGGACTTTGTTCATTGTTCAATATGCTAAAATTAAGGAACACAACGTTTCGGAAACTTGATCTGTTACCGTCTTCAGGTGAGAATATAGGCTTAGCTCTTTCTAAGGGACCCAATAGAATAGGCGTCCCCCCCACTCACCTGAGGCTGGAAACAGATCCAGTTTTCGAAAAGTTGTGTTCTACAGTTTTTAAAATTCTGGATGATGGACAAAGTCCAAAAACCCAGTAATTCTGGGTGATATAGTACCTCATCGTCAGAACACTCTAGAATCTACGACTGTGTTCGTTCACACATCAGCGTAGCCCACCTGGAAGTGGATGTCCTCTACGAGTATCTAAAATGATTGTCACACAGTCTCCTTCTGACGTAGGATTGAGATGGGTCATGTGAATGGCTGTCTGATGGCACTGTCAGTACCTGAGGTCATACAGCATCCAATGTTAGGGTAATCGGTGAATGATATTTTGGAAGAGATGTGAAATTAGTCGATAGTGTCCTAATTTGAGGTCTAGCTCGGGAAATACCTCGAGAGGAAACCATGAAAATCATCATTCATGATAGTCGGTGTCAAAGCCGAAGTTAGAACAGGGTACCTTTCAAATGCAAGTCAGAACCTTTTTCGCACTAACCAACTTACTCAATCAAGAATGGTAAGGTGGGAAATATATGCAAGGAAACAGCCATGGTATATTTTAAGGCAGTCTCGAAGCATTTTTCTGGAGTGACAGAGTAAATGAAAAAGATAAATCAGAATAACCCAAGTTCTTCTGTAGTATGTATCAGGTGTACTAACCACTGATGTACGCGATGTTAGGAAGCATCTCTGTATCTTACACCTATAAGTAATGTCTACTTTCATTTGTGTGTTTATTTTAATCTCACAGCTTTCAGTTATCAAAAAGCCTGACGCTGACATCTGTCAGCAAGGGAGCCAGAAAACTCGATAGAGGACGTGGATAAATGAAAAGTTGATTGCATGTAAGCGAAGAACTCAATTCAAAGATTGTTTTAGTTTTCGTGAGTGAGGAAATATTTCTTCTGGTTGCAGGTGGTAGCGAATTGCCTCTTGCTGCTGACCGCCAACCTTTTGGGCCTGACGTCCTATTACCTGGCGGACAAGCAACAACGCCGAGCTTTCCTGGAAACGCGTCAATCCTTGGAGATGAAGCTTGTCATAGAGGAGCAGTCGGCCGAACAGGTCTGTACCGCACAGATCTGCACAGCTGTTCAGATCCTTTCGGTGAAACCTTTCGAAGAATTAATCACTGATTCACTGACATTTTGTAACCTAAAAATGTAAAGTTGTGTCTGTGTTTGATTAGTTTAACACTAGACCATGAATACTTGCTGGGAAGTGGAGGTATGGTTCTACAATTCTTGACCTCAGGGTTAGATATAGGTGAACATCTGGTACGCTGGAGACTGCGGAGAAGAGAAAAGAATTCCCTTGCAGGGAATCGAACCTCCACCGTCCAGCCCTTAGCCTGTGGCTATACCGAGTGACTTATCTCGATTCCTTTAAAGCTGTCCTTGTTCTTAAATAATTAAGCATTATGCCATGAAAACAAACGGGGAAGGAGCTCCACCATTCTTGTCCTGGCCACTAGATGGAGGTGAATGGTCAGCTTCATGCCCCTGCTGATTTATCCCCGGGGAAGGAGTCCTCAGTACCCATTGGATAGGAGGCTGGATGGACCCTAGAACCGGTCTGGGCGTTGTAAGGAAAAGAAAATATATTGGGCCAGCCAAAAATAGATCCCCGTTCATCCTATCCGAGGCCCGTTGCTATACCAACTAAGCTAACCTGACTCCTAAAATGTAAAGATGTCACGGTGTTTACTGAATTAAGGGCTAAGCTATGAAGGCGTCAGGGGGAGTGAAGGCGTAGCTCTTCAACTCTTGACCTCGGCACTAGATGGTAGTGAGTGGACAGCATCACTGAACTGATAATCTGCAGACTGAACCATTACTGAGCTAGTTTTTCTCCGATCAAGACAGTTGACTTGCGATGAAACTCAGGATGAACTCTTTAAATATCATGTTACAATGATGATTGTACGTTTAAACCGTAACGTTTAGAATTAACAGAATTGGCGCGAAAAGAAGGTCACGTTAATTTTATGGATTGTGTTGGACTAGATCAATGCTTATTAACCTGGGGTTAAAGCACCTCAGGGGTGTGAAATGCTCTTTCTGGAGCACCGAGACGAACTTCATTTTTAGAAGGTGAACAATCAAAAATACAAACATAGGGACCTAAATACAATAAATAAAACTACTTTTTAGCAATCATATATATATATATATATTATAACGGATTCACTAGAAGCATTACTAGACAACCGCTTTATATGATACTCTCACGCAACAATAGGACGAATGTTATTGCTTGTTGCTAGGCAGCGGTCAGCACTACGATCAGCTGGCTGGGTGGCGGTCACATCATAAGTTTTCTGTAGGTTCAGCCAGCACGCCAATAGACTGGTGAGATAGTGAATACCTGACATATGTTTCCTGTGTGTGACCTGTGCCCAGGAGTTGTCTTGAAGATATTCGGCGTTACAACGCATTTTACAGAATTAGACTGGAGAGTTGAAGTCAGCCATGGTAAGTTCGTAGTTGAAGAAGAACTAGAAGTCAGCCTGTGAGGACTTAACGCGTGATTAGAAGACTTTATGTGTGCTGTAGTACAGTGACATTGGGAGTGTGTGATTAAGTGGGATGTTTATAGTTCCTGTGTAAAATCCGTTGACAGGAAACGGATAGTGAAAACATCGTCAAGGCTTAACCATAATTGAGATCTATTACCAAAAACGACTAGTGCAAGCAGATATAGAAGATTTTATTTATGCGTTATAATTACAGTAATCCTTAGAGTATTACGATCATAATTAATTGTAGTTACGACTTGTGAGTTGTCAATAAATCGTTTCGCCAATTCAAACCAGCGTCTATAGTCACTTCAACATGAGACAATATATTTATATTACATTTTAATGATTAATATGCAAACAAAAATGNCTTTCTTCAAAAATGTGTAGGTTTAAAGAACTGACCTGTTGCGGGGAATTTTGATAAGGGGTACGAGACTGTATTTTGAGAAACGCAGGGGCTGCAGGCTGCAGTAAATATTAGGAATGTCTGCTCTACATGCCTCCAAAAGGATTGTCTGAAGTACTACTTCTAAAATTTGTGAATGATTGTATTCTTGAGACCGCCTCTGTGGTCTAATGGTCAGAGTTCCTGCCTACAGACCCAGAGGTCCCAGGTTCGGTTCCCGGCACTACCAGATTTTCTGAGAAGTTGTGGGTCTGGAATGGGGTATAGTTCGGTATAGTTCGCTTGCGGACTACAGGCCACGGAGTTCTTTTTTTGAAGCGTACTACCTTCTGGAATGTAAGGCGGTGACGTCCGATAGTTCATCTTTGTTTCACAGTAACGTGCTGCCTCCATCTTCAGACTCGAAAAGTAAAGCAAGCAAATGACAGGTCAGGAGCAAGCAATAAGCATAGCTTGATTCTTATTGGTTTCTTGACTGTCTTACTTTCAACCATGAAGATGGAGGTAATACACTAACGGTTTACATAACATCACATTCTGGAATATATTAGAGTGTAAGAACATCTTAATTGCCCCTTTTCGCCAGAAAATTGGAGCTGGATAAAATTAAGGAAATTTAAAAAAGCGGAATATTTAAGCTCATGGGGAAAATGTTAATGTCTAAAGTTCTATAAACACGTAAAGGGAAGAGACGACTTTGGAGACTTCAGTGTAGATAACAGGATAACATTCATATTGATCTTCGATGAATATTTTGCCAAGATATGGATTCGATTAATTTGCCTCAGGATATGGCACACTGGTAGGTCGCCTTAACTCTGAAATGAATTTTTCTCTTGCATATATGCAGAGAATATTTTGGTTAGGGTAGACACTGTGGCATATTTGCTCAAAAAATGTGGAGGCAAAGAAACAACCGTTGCTGGGTAATGACCCGTACAAACGCAACAGAGAAACTCGTCACGTACGCTATGATGTCACGCAACAACAGAAGAGGAGTTGTAAGCGGCGTTCTCTGTGGTTTCGCGCCTTGCTCGTTGCTCCGCAACTGTACGATAAACACATTTCTGCAGCATTGAATCAACACGCAACAAAAGGAGGAAGCTGTGTTCGGTAGTAAGAAATTTTCTGGTTCGTTCCTGAAAATTTTTAATTTATCTTGAAAGTAATTAAAGTATGTGTGTGCGTGTTTGTGCCGGTACGATGACAGACACCTGAAGACAGGAGCAGAGTCAACTCTCGAAACAACGTTTATGACAAACATGCTTAAATATTTTGTGGCTTATTTTTTGACGCTGGAAATGGCTAGGTTATTAAATAGTCGAATGACAGGATGGCCGATGAATAATGAATTAGAAAAGATATGAAAGGAAGCTGTTGTATACGGATCGAGGTATTATGCAGGCACATCCTCTCAGGTGTTTGGGAAATCAACTAAAATCATCAATCAAGATACCAGATGTTCCTGCCAAAATTCGAATCGAGTGCCTCCAATATAGGAGTCTGGAGCGTTACGTCTACATGTTTTTGTAATAATGACTCCATCATTGACAAAAATATTTGGAGAATTATTACAAACTTGAATTATTAAGATATTCCGTCTTCTGTCTGTGACGTTATATTGCCATTCTTGCCCGATCTTATTCCCATCTACACGATACAAATTCTTTCTATAAGTGTTTTCCTCCATAATACGGCTTATGAATACAAGAGGCTTCTTCAGTTTCCTTGGTCCTTGGCATATCAAATTGAAGTTCTAAGTATCCGTCGTGTTGGAGAATAAAACGACGCTATCGCTGCGTGGAGCGTCAAGACCGTCTGAAGTTTAAAATCGTCCGTCCTGGGAAAGACTCCACACTCCCGTTCATCAATCGCAACTCTGAGCACGAGCCTGGATTACGTCGATTTTGCTTCACAGCTTCTGTCAGACAAGTCGATTATACTGAATATCTTAACATTTATCTTGTAAAATTTGAAGTTCTCACAGCGGTGGTTTTGCAAAGTTCTATTTTCCTCGAAGTAACACCATGTAGTCAGCTGAAAGTGAACCGGCGTTTCGGAGGAACATTTCGCTCCAATCTTAAACTCTCATTAGTAAACCAAGCAAGCTCTGATTGCAACCGGCTTCATGCAGGTTTTTTGCTTGGCTTATTATATTACCCTGAAGATGGAGGCGACATATTACTCCTAAACTTGATAGATTTTCAATGGAATACATGGCTTTATATGTCAGAGGACGGGAACTCAATATTTATTTCAATTTCAGGCATACCCATTGAGATACGAGGGAAAACCGCATATAATTCGTTAGAAAAGTATCCTCGGTAGAAGTACAACGGCCATTTTGCTCTTTCATTTCTTTAAGTAACGTGAAAGTTTGTGAACGTACTTTTTCCAGCCATAACAAGATAAAATGCTGCCGACTTCAAGAATAATTTACGATCTAAAATTCTCACAGCGCTGGTTATGAAAAATTTATCCCCTTTGATAAAACACCGTGTAATCCGTTTCAAGTTAGTCAATGGTTCGGAAGAGCTGTCGCCTCCATCTTCACGGATAAAAAATAAACCAAACAAGAAAGCAGCATGAAGCAGGCAGCAAGCAGATGTTAATTTTCAACTTTCAAATTGGTGATGATATTTTCTTCCGAAATGTCTATTAACTTTCAACGGACTACAGGCTTTATATCCCTTGAGAGAGAATACTGTTATTTAATTCTGTCAGTAAGAGTATGACGATAATGTGACATTAATGAGAAGCCTGTGCTTAAAGTGTAGACGAATATTTGTGTAAACCAACTAATTACCATTTTCGAGATTATCTTGTTCCACCCAGATGATCGGCAAGTCCCACTAATGGGGCGTATGTCACGGGTTGAGAAACGCAGGTCTGAACTGTCACAGCAGATTTACAATGCTCCATCGAAAACACAATCTCACAGACATAAAGTTGTAAAGCTTATGTTATATTTTCAATATCACAGAGTAGAATATGTTAGAAGCCTCTTTTCATGGCACAGAAATTCACACAACTGCGGTGAATTCATTCAGAAGCTTGATCACAGTCAAGGCATACGCCAAAAACAGATTTTGCATCTCCACACAGCGAACTTGACAGTGAATTCTGAATGCGGTTAAA